TTGTGTCTGGGGGGGGGGAAAAAAAAGTAGAAAAAAATATTGACTTTCTCTGTAAAGTTACCTGAAAACTCAGTAGGGGCTAGATCCAGATAAAGGACTTAAATCATTGAACCTCACCCAGTTCTTTCAAAGAATGATTGTAGTTACATACCCTCAGGGAAGGCTTTCAGCTTTTGCTTCTGAATTGCTGAGCATTTTCCCTATTGCCCTTACCCCAGTTTATCCATGTCCTAGAGAGGTCTATGCTTAAAATGGATCTCTATGTTTAATATTTCCTCTTGGCTACGTATGTAGGGTTGTGTTTGCCTTGCTATTCTGCAGCTTCCAACTCTGCATGAGAAGCTTAAGTTCATACCTTCAGAGTCCTGGACTTCACCAGATGACTAAACTGGAGTGGTGCATCTCCTAACTTGAAGATGCCCAAATCCCTACTGAACCCATCCCTAGGGTATTACTGTTCATTGATTCTTGGTTGTGCTGCAGAGTCGGTTCAATCTGTGTCTTTGCTTTCAAGGTTCTAAACAAAGCCGCAGTCTAGAATTTCAAGGGCTCCCCAGTCCATGGCTATATTTAGATATCTGAATAACTTACCCTTATTAGATACCCCACCTTCTCCAACAAGCGTTAAATACCCAGCAAATTCAGAATGCAGCTCAATGGGTGTTGGCTGATGCTCAGTGTACTTGAAAACCTGACTCCTTTATTTGCCGTTCAACTGCTTTTGTATGTAACATTAAGCAGGTCTAAGTATTTGCAGGGCTGGGGCCTTGGCTTGTAAAGATCTCTGGAAAGGACCTCTATGAGGGACTGAAAGTTGTAGAGTGCCTCTGCCTTTTTCTCTCTTTTTTAAAAATGGCTCAGGAGGAAAAAAAATATTCCAGCTCTTCTACCAGCCTCTTATTTTTAAAACTGCTATGAACAAAACCATCTCAGCTTTCCAGCATTAAAAGGTGTATGTGGTGGTTTTAAGATACTGGTACTTGTACTGCTGTCCTAAAATCCTTTGACTTTTTGCCATACTCGAAGAATGTAGGTTCTCTCTTGATAAGTTCATTGTGTGCTAATCCTTCCTGGAAAAAAACCTCTACATGCTGTGTATGGCTTTTGCACTTCTGAAGGTAAAGGTTGGCTCCTGGTTTAATAACAAAAGTACCCAGAAAGCCGGTTTTCAGGGAATTTCCCTTTTGAAAAGGGAATTCCAAGCTCCTATAAAGCTAGCTTAATGGTACTCTGCACCACATTGTATTTGTCCTACCAATATCATTCTTTCAGCATTTGGGTATCACCAGAAGTAAGGACACCAAGGCCCTATCCCACTTCCATCTAGCACTCCAGAGAGCATGAGGAAAGATCATACATATTTGCTCTACTGCGTAGGTATTTCTCCAGCACACAGGGGCTCCTCAGAAGGCTGTTTCCTTCACAATCAGGTTTACAAATCTTTTGTACCAGCCTGGAGGGTTGTAGAGGGGCACTAGTAAGTCCAAAAGTCTGAGCTGAAGCTTTTATAGACTCAGATGTTACAGTAATCTGTAATAATTACTCCTGCCACAGTTATGAATATTTGGAACTCTATTCCCCAAACCACATGCTTCACAAGTAAAACTTCCCATCTAGCTGATGTCATCTGACCCCATAACTGTTTCCTGCCCAGGGCAGGGGTTGGACTTGATGATCTGTTGAGTTCCCTTCTGACCCTAGCATTTATGAATCTATGAGACCATTAGACAAAAACATAGGGCACAATTTATGAACCATACAAACATTGTAAAAATTGTGATGCTGAGCATAATTCAGGAAATGAACAACCAATTTGTTGCTTGCATGTTAATGCTAAATTATTTCCACTATATTTTAGCATACAGCACATGTATTTTTAGGTACTCATGACACTACAGGTCTTGTGCTACCTGTTGTATTTCTGAAATTTTTTTAGGCTGAAAGAAGCATTGGAATAGGGTGCTCTTAGGGAAGGTGAGATGACTCCTTGAGTAAGTTCCCAGTGTGGGTGCAGTACTTTGCATGGGAGTGCTGTCGTTAGATCCCTGAGTGCTGCCTCTCATTTGCCTTTAAGTAACAGATTTCCTGGAGGATACAGGTTTTCCATTCTTCTGTGGTGCTTGTTGTGTGGGAGACTGAAGAACCTCCTTTTTAAAGTGATTGTAAGTAAAGATGGTCTAACAGGGCCCAGTGATTGGGTGTTTTTAACTGAAAAAAAATAGCATAAATTAGGATCTGCTTATTTTGTCTTAGAAAAGTTAGGGAGTCTGTGCTTTAAACTCTTTGCTGCTCTGGACATTCATAGCTTAGACGGCTACTACCCTTTTCTGGCTTAAGAAACTAAATGTTCCTGTTTATTGGCCAGTTGTGTGGTGTCATCAGTGTGGTGTTGGGGTAGGAACAGAGTGCATCAATTTAGGTGGAAGCTGCCTCTCTCCTTTCCTTTTGCGTGTGACTACTGACTATCCCTCTCTCAGATCAGAACCACTTAGACTAGAGTAAGTATATTTTCTAGAGTAATCTGAGACTTTACATTCAATTCTAATGTAGTAGTCTTAAAAAAAATCTTTAAAGCATACGTTTCAATTTCTGTAGCTGGTTTTGTAACCTTAATCTGAACAGTCTGTAATGATTAGGTCTGACTTTCTGTGGATGGGAAAAAGAACATGCTTTTTGAATATGACTTGCTTAGTTGTAATAAACAACAGTCTATTATATTTTTTTTTAAATAATAATCTTCTGTTATTGGTTACTGGCATTCTCACTGTATTTCTTCATTATGGCCAGTTATTTAATACTTTATTCTTTTGCTTGGCTTAATTGACATATTAAACATGTGTCCCATGATTGATTGATTGATTGATTTTTGTCATTCTACCATAGGTGACACATGTGAAGCTTTTACATGCAGAATTAATTTTTTTATTAAATTGAGCATAATAGATTTTATTTATACATATATAACTTTGCAATATAGTGCATATTTAAGAAAAGATGTAAATTTGCACTGCCTGTATTATGCTAGTTTTGTAAAGAAGCCTACTAACTTAGATAAGCTGAGCATGAGTTTAAAAATAAATGTATTTAGGTATGGGCAACTATATAATACTCAGCTCTCTGCAAGTATTATTTTTCTCCCATTTGTGATTTGTTCATATTTTTATTCTTTTTTCCCCCTAGTTCAGCTAATTTTTGGTGTAACTGTTCAGTCTCTTAATGAGTCGTCTTTGGCTCAATTTTTTTTACAGTTTTAGCATATGAAGTTGAGATTTAAAAACATGCCATATGTACCTGAATCCAAAATTACTTTACATGTAAGACTATGCTCTGATAATTAGTTTCTACACATGGAAAACTTATAACTTTTGATATAATTTTCCATGTATAGAATCTGATTGTCGGAGGGTTGTCTTGAATTTATTTCCCCCACTGCGTTAGCAGGGAAAGTAGAGGCAAGGAGACAGCGGTTGCAGCTCCAGCTCCAGAACACTGGAATTGCCACTGCCACTGCTGCTGTGTGATCAGGTTGTGGCGAGAGCTACCATGTGCTCTGTGTCCCCACTGGAATGGAGCCAGAGCCTCTTTACAGTACGGGTGAGCAGAATCTGGAATAGACTTCCCAAGGAGGTGGTGCAGTCCCCAGTCTTGGAAGTCTTCAAGAGGAGACTGGACAGACATCTTGCTGGGATCATTTGATCTCAGCAGTGTTCCTGCCCAGAGCAGGGGAGGTTTGGAATAGACTGCCGCCAGAGGCAGTTCAAGCACCCACTTTGAATGTCTTCAAGACATGTTTGGATGCTTATCTTGCTGGGATCCTATGATCCCTGCTGACTTCTGCCTCTGGGGCAGGGGGCTGGACTCGATGATCCTCTGGGGTCCCTTCCAGCCCGAATGTCTATGAAATCTTTCAAGGTCCCTTCCAGGTCTTGATTTCTATGATTCTATAACTGACAGTAAAGGTGGGGGGGCAGTCAAAGGGAAGGGGCAGTGGCTACAACCCTGAGCCCAAGTTGGAGCCACAGCAACTGTCTGCCTCCTTCACCCCACCTTGTACTCAAATCCAGGATGAGAGGCTTTTTTCCACATGTTGAATGGTGGGGGGGACCTCACCGTGGATTCAAGTAAGTATAGTAATAGAATGGTATGGTTGGAAGGAACCTTGAGAAAAATTAGTCGCACCCTTTGTACAAATACCAGGTGCGCTATACCTAAAATATCCTGTAGAGGCCTCTTGCAAACCTCCAGTGAGGGAGCTTCTATAACTTTCCTTCTTCTGAAAATTGTACAGTTTTTCTGCCAACAAATTTCTTGTAGTTCTTGAATTTAAAAAGCAAGGATTGCTCTGTTTGTGTTTCCATATCTACCAAATCAAACAGAAAGAAATAGTTAGCCATGTTAACTCTGAAGACAGGGTAGAGCAGTGGTCTGTGACCGCAGGTGCCATGGTGCCCCCCCAGCGTTTATTCAGGTGCCTGTGTGCATTTTCACGATCAGTAAAAATCAGTATTCCAATAAAAAATGCTGTCATATTGGCACTCGCTGCTTTTTCTTTTAAATTCACATGTGCCCTTGGGTGCACAAACGTTAGGAACCCCTGGGGTAGAGGTACATTTTATAAACTAACTGAATCGAGGATGCATAAGCTCTTGTAAGTAAAAACTCACTTCATCAGATACTCACCACAGTGTAACAAGTGATTCCTTTAGAGCAGGGATTTTCAATCTTTTTTAATAAGTGTACCCCTGGCAGGCGGAGAGGGGGGGCTGGCAGCAGCTGCATGCAGAGCAGTGGCAGCACAGGGTGGCAGGGGGGATGGGGTGCTTCTGCATGTGACCTCCTCCCCCCCATGGCCAGGTGGCACCTATGCAGCCCACAAAGGGGCGCTGCTGCCCTGCGGGGCGGGGAGGGTAGCCCTGTTCCTGAGAGGTGGCAGCATTCTGTCCTCACCTACCTGTGCGTACGCCCTAAGGCCTTTCCAAACACCCCTGGGGATATGCGTACCTCTGGCTGAGAACCCCTGCTTTAGAGCGAGAGCTATTCCCTACACAATGAATGTTCCCACATATGAGGGGTTTCCAATGTCTTGTCAGTGAGAGGAGTGGGCCTGTCCCTTTGTAGAGCAGAGCTGTTACTGAGGGCAGAAGATGGAGTTTGGGTCAGGCTTTTAGCAAACAGAATTTCTCAGAGATTTTGGCTTGTGTGGGGATGAACCACGTGAACCATCTGGTTGATTGTCTGAAAACCTGTTGTCCAAGGTTTAGCTGTGTGAGGTCACTTTTAATTTTGCACAAAAATATGTTTCTGCAGAAATAAGTTCACTAATAATTCTTTCTTACCATTCAATAGAAGTACTGAGCCTGCATACAAGCATGTTCAAATTAAATAGTATGCTGAATGTTTTTATCAGTGCCCTTCTTTGGCAGGAACAGCACACATTTACCAAAGCAGGTCAATGGCTAGCTGCTTCATAGAAGAAATGCAAAGAAGCAGACAGGGGTTAAATGTTTTATTTGCTAAGATTACAACACAGTGACTTGTTTGTTCAAATTGTAAAATTCTTATCTAGTCAGTTTTGCTTCTCTTAATGAATGAGAGATGGTTTGTGCAGGAAAGGCACAAGACCTCTTACTGACCACGTGCAATTCTTTTAATTGAATAAAATTGGTTATGGTTTCTTGCCTCTATAGAAATGCCTTGCCTCCCTACTACTCGCCCCACCTCCAAATTAAAAATTCTTTTAGTCCAAGCATGTTAATACTTGTATAAAATACTGATTTACATGCATTATGGTGTAAAGCATTAACTTGCACTCTTTCTTGACCAAGTGCATTTTACATACAGGCTGAGCGCCACCAGTTTGGAGCTATTGATGTTCTGCCTAAACAAGTGCTGCCTCATCATATGGCTTCTATAAACGTCAACTATTACCCTGGACTGCTGCACATATTTTAAATTATTCTGTAGCTTGGAAATTTAACCTTTGCTTTTCAAGACAGTGCAAAATGGAGAATATCTGCTTATTTCTATGAATTGCGTTATTTTTAAATTAAGTTTTCTAAAATATCACAAACATGGTGAGCAGCTATTTTATTTATGATATTATTGTAACTAAGTTTTTTTTTCTTATTGTTGCAAAACCTTAGCCTTACCTTGCAAGATACTGAGTGACCTTAACTCCCAGTAATTGCACGTAGATTATTCTTCTTTCAATGAGTCACATTCTAAGTCTGCCTGAAACCAGGTGGAGTGTTTCCACTGATTTTTTTTCAGGAAAATTGAATCAGACCTAGGAGCAGAGGTCAAGCAGCAACTTGCTTCAGAGGGCCCTTTATTTTTAGCAGGGTTTTTTGTGCTCCATATGTTCACATATGAAATTCTCTTTGAAATCTGACTGCTTCCTCCTGGAGTAAGGAACGTCTGGAAGACCATTATCCTGTTTCAAAACTCTTACCCTTTCATTTTCATAAGGTATGAGGAAGACATTCTGCCTTAAGAGAAGTTACGCTGTACTAATTATCTTAGCGCTGACATGAAATGCTATGAAGAGACTTTGTCTCCAACATGCTCAGACTCTTCTGAAATTTAAATAAGCTCACAAGTTACATCCTGATAACTAGTGAACATTTTTTATATGTATATCATGAAGCCACTGCATAATTTAGAACATTTGGCCGTGTGATAATGAGAAATGGTATAACAGATCATCTGAAGGTTTGTGCTGACGTGCTTAGTACAGGCATACCTCGGAGATATTGCGGGTTCGGTTCCAGACCACCACAATAAAGCGGATATCGCAATAAAGCGAGTCACACGAATTTTTTGGTTTCCCAGTGCATATAAAAGTTATGTTTACACTATACTGTAGTCTATTAAGTGTGCAATAGCATTATGTCTAAAAAAACAATGTACATACCTTAATTAAAAAATACTTTATTGCTAAAAAATGCTAACCATCATCTGAGCCTTCAGCGAGTTGTAATCTTTTTGCTGGTGGAGGGTCTTGCCTCAATTTGTAAAAAAACGCAATATCTGTGAAGCGCAATAAAGTGAAGTGCAATAAAACGAGGTATGCCTGTAGAGCTCTCTGAAGCTTACATGATATCTGTGCTGCACCTTTCTCAGCCAGTGCTCCCCATAGTGTGTTTTCATAGTACCATTTGTATGTACAAAATGGTAGGAAAACAATTACTTGAAATAGGCAAAGTGACATCTGCAACTATGATCAGTTCCTCTGCTGCTCTGCGGGGCCAAGCTGTTGAATGGTGAATGCTGGCAATAAGTTGTTGCTTTTCTGATGTCAGTATCATAATTGGTTATTTTGTATATATTCTGTTTTAAACAGACTGATGGCTGATCAAGTGCTTGTGATTGGCAGTGGAGGCAGGGAGCACGCTCTGGCCTGGAAGTTAACACAGTCTCCGCATGTAAAACAAGTGCTTGTTACTCCAGGAAATGCAGGAACAGCTGGAGATGGGAAAATTTCCAATTCAGGTAAAAAAAAAAAATACTAAGAGAATTTGAAATATATACTGGACCATGTAGTACATGCACACTAAATCCTAAATGATGGTTTTCGATTCTTTTTTGTTTGTGCTATAGGAATTATGTGTAAGACCATAATTCCTTATAAAGGTAATAGACGTAGCTGGATGTGGTTAAAGATGATCTGAAAGTGAAAGTTATAGTAAGGTTGGTGAGCATCATAGCCCAGCCTCTGGCATGGATCTTTGAAAACTCCTGGTGCTCTGGTGTAGTGCCCGAAGACTGGAAGAAGGCCGATGTGATGCCTATCTTCAAGAAAGGAGGAAAGTGGATCCAGCTAACTATAGGCCCATCAGCCTGACTTCTATCCCGGGGAAGATCTTAGAAAAGTTTATTAAAGAGGCCATCCTTAATGGACTGGCCGATGCCCATATCCTAAGGGATAGCCAGCACAGGTTTGTTGCAAGTAGGTCTTGCTTGACAAATCTCATTTCCTTCTACGACCAGGTGACCTGTCACCTGGACAAGGGAAAGAGATTGATGTCATATATCTTGACTTCAAAAAAGCCTTTGATCTGGTATCCCATGATCACCTCTTGGCGAAACTGGCCAATTGTGGCCTTGGGTCCACCACGATCTGTTGGCTGGGAGGTTGTCTCTGTGGTCGACCCAGAGGGTAGTAATTGATGGAAGTCAATCATCATAGTGCCCTGTGACCAGTGGGGTCCCCCAAGGCTCTGTCCTTGGACCCGTATTGTTCAACATCTTCATTAATCATGTGGACATTGGAGTCAGAAGCAGACTGGCCAAGTTTGCCGATGACACCAAACTTTGGGGCAAAGCATCCACGCCAGAAGACAGGCGGGTGATCCAGGCTGACCTGGACAG